CTTAAAAATATAATGAAACTATTGTATCTGAGAACCAGAAAAACTAGTCGACGCAAGTCATTATGATTTTTATCAAATGAATTTTCGATACATTCGATACATTTTTTAGCAAAAATGTGAGTTTATTTACACACATACGCAAACATAAATATACACATATTTTTTAAATTTTCGTGTTTTGTGTATAATTCAGCAGAGTAGAGCGTGGCTTAAAGGTTTAAAAAAGATTTTTAACCAACCATAGCCTTGTTTCTTAAGATGGCGCTATCGGTAGCTAAACAGCAATCGTTTGAAAATCATGACAAAAGCATTTTCGTCCGATGTTGTTTTTTTGTTTGTGGGCACTGTTGTTTAGTTAGTCTGCATTATGTTTTATAAGATATATTATGATTTTTAAGTTAGATTCAACAGTTTTTGATGTAACCTCTATGAAAGCGGCAAAAAGGACAACTCAGCCTTTACCCTAGCAAAGGTGTAAACAATAAAAAATAGTAAATAAAAAGTAAATAAAGTTAAAAAAATAATTTTACAAGAGATAAGTTGAATTAAAAGTTATTCCAACTGACAAAATACCAAATCAAGGTTATATACAATGCAATATCTCTGTAAAAATGTATCCATAAAATTTATATTTTAAATTAGTTGTATAATGTAGCTATTATATAGTAAAATCCCTTTAAAATTAAAAATTAAACATTAAACCTGTTTTAAACATTTTTATTTTATCCCGCCCCTGGGGTAAAAAAGACCAGGTGATAAATTTTCGAAAAACAGCAAAAAAGAGTAGTACTAGATGTACACTACGGTGTTGTATTTATATAACTTTTTGTATTTTGATCAAAAGCATTTAGAAAAGTAGACAAGAATTGTTTCAAATCCGCTTCTTATTAATCAAAGAAATAAAATGTTTTAAGTTAGTAATTTCAAATAATTACGAGTTTGAAACTACTTATAAATATATAAATTCAAGTTATTTTTATAATCGTAAGAATAAGTTGCGTACATGTCGCATACATTATACTGGGAATTTATAAATAGATATATTTTAGCCATGAAAACTATTTCTAATTCATAGCGTAGTTGTATTCTATAATTTTTAGCTATATGTCTTAAAAAGAAGTTTTTGGAATAGTTCATATTCGAAATATATATTTATGTGATATAAGCAAATAGAAATAATGGTGATAAATTATATGTAATGAATTATTAATACGTTTTTACTAGATAGTAAATAGTTATTTCACCAACAATTTTTAAAAACTCAATGCTTCAAGAATTGAATAAGAAAAACTCTACATTTTCTGCATTGTTCTGTATATTTTGATGTTTATGTGCTTTTGTTCTAAAAATAATAAAATTCTTAATTTTATTTTCTTCAAATTTTTTATAAATTTTGGCAAATATGTTTATACATAATATTGTCAAGTCATTCTTTTTGTTTTAGGTAAAGCTATTCTTAAAAACCATTGCGATCAATACACTTAAATAATTTATCTTAATTTTGGAATTATTGTATTTTTATTAATGATTTATTCTTAAAGATTTTTATCAAATATTCGTATCAGTCAGTATAATCAATAACTCTCTTAGGGATCTAACTCTGAAGTACATTTAAATATTCTGTCTTATCTCAAGTTTGAGAAAACAAAGGTCGATAAATATAAAAATATATGATAACCTCTTATCTGAGTTGAAATTACAGCGATATTTAAATTGCTAATATGAGTTATTGCAGATTTTTTTTATTATTTGAGATGATTTTCAAATATTCATCCAATAATATCAATCAATACAGCATGAGGATTTATTATTGAAAAAACATGTGCAAGTATTTCAATTATTCAAAATTACGCATATAAATTTCATTTCTGATTAAATTATAATATTTCAATTAGCAACCGAAATGTGATAATAATATAAGGAGATTATTTTAGTCCAAAATACAATTATCATAATTAAAAAAAAATAAATTGTTTTATAAAATGTATTGTTATTTTTAAGTGAGAATCAACAGTTTTTTTATATAAACTCTATAAAAGCTTATATACACAAGCTTACACATACACATGCATGTGTGTGGGGTAAAAATGATCAACAAAACCTTTACATTGGCAAAGGAGTAAACAGGGTTTACAAGCAATAAATTAAATTAATAGTTATTAGACCTTTGCTGATGAATATTCCATCGAAATACCAGATCAAGGTTATATCCAATAAATTTTTTGTAAAAAAATGCAGCCATTATCTATGTTTAATCAATAAAAATTAATTAATAATTAATAAAAATTATTTAATTTTTTATTAAATTTATGTTTTTATTTTTTATTTTTTTAAATCATTACATTTATTGATTGGCAATATATGTAGGTAGAGAAAAAAGAGCTTAATTAGATACGATTGTGAGAAGAAAAGGAAACTGGGTCGCATCCTCATCGGACTACTTTTTGCACCAAAGAAGAAATAGAAGAACAAAAAGCAAGGACACGAAGAAGGATCCAAACGATAGGACGACAACGCGACAATACTCAAAATTGAAATCAGATGCACAGGACGCAGCAAAACGTAAGATGAAATTTAAAATATAAAAAGTAATTTATAAATAAATGCAAAAATTAGGAGCGAATTAAATGTGGTCTCATACCGATCACCAAAAATCGACAAAAAATCCAGTTTTAATTGAAATTTGTCACCGTTTTCTGAAAAGTAATTGAATAAATTTCAAAAATTCTTTGAAATTTCTATTTTATAAACGAATATTAGATAGAAGTATATTTTATGAATTTCATGAAAACTAGTGGGGTGGGTGGCATCGTGCCTTAAGGCAAATTGCTGGAACCGTACCGTAATGAAATGTTCGAGGATTACTGAATGTTTTCAAATAGATTATTATAAATATTGTAACATTGTCTAATATTTATAAATATTATATAAACTGAATTGCAGAGTTGAAATTATTTGTAAAGTATATTAGAACTATAGTCAGAATTAAAAATAAATATTTTCGATATACAAAAAACTAAATGGGACAAATTTTTTTTTCCAAAATCGATTATTTTGTTAAGACAAGCAGAAAGTTCTTTGAATCATTTAAATCGGACGCTTAGTTCTTTCAAAAATTGCCATTTTTTACATATTTAGCTCCGCATCTTCAAAATGGCTGGGCCTGCCTTTGCCAAAAACTAATAAGCACTTCTCCCAATCATTACTAATTGAATGTTTTTTAGATCATTCAAATCGGATACTCCGTTCTCTCAAAAATACGATTTCTATTTTCTGCACTCTTTGCTCCGTATCTCCGAAACGCCTGGACCTGCCTTTGCCAAAAACTAATCAGCTCTTTTCCCTATCAATAGGAATCGGATGTTTTTTGAACCATTCAAATCGGTTGATCCGTGCGCCCTAAAACGTGACTGGAAATTTGTATCCACACATACATACACACACACACACATCCATTTTTTCTGAGGTATGCCAAAACGTTCAGAAACCTTCAAAACGTCGAGAAATGTAAAAATTTTCAATTCCGATTTTCGGCCCATTACAATAACTTACCCTACGGGAAGTTAAAAATATTTTTATTGAATTCTGGCTTTACTGCATTTTTTTTAAATATGACTCTTTTGTTAATTTATAAAAATTTGATCAATACATATCGTAAAATTAACCATCAAAATTATTTGCTCCACTAATTATTTCATATATTTAATTTGATTATGAAACGCGTATATGGTAGAGGGGGTCTTAATGGTCTCAGATAAAATAATCCCCAACCATTATTTCAAAAGCAATTAAAATAGGATGCTATTTTAAAGTAGAAGGCAACAAACTAGCGATCGCCTTAGATAGATCCTCGTATCTATCAGAAGATAAACCATAAATGAACATTTTAATTAACAAATGTATTTTCTTTCGTTGTTAATTTTTTTAGTTTACGAGACTTTAATATATATGAGCATACTATATTTATATATACTATATACTACAACTACTATATACTATATTTATGTAAGTTTTATAAAGTGTATAAAATATATACGGATTTGTAGTTTTAGTTATTAATTAATTTTATGTAGTTTTTTTGCAAGCGTGCAAATTTTATAAACAAAAAGTAATATGGAAACTTAAAAGAGCTAGAAAGAGAATTCTAGTAAAATTTTGGGAATTTTCCCAAATTACAGAGATGTTACTTGGAGTGAACTATTAATTATTTAATATGTTAATTCATATTTCAAGGATTATTAGTACCTACCAAGAATATTTTCGATTTTTTGCGTATGCAAAATGTTTTATGGAAAATTAAGAGCACTCCTGGCCATCATTTGGGTATGGTGCCATTCTCATGACAAGAATATACCAAATGTGTACAATTGTTATCTTAACGCAATATATATATATATATATATATATATATATATATATAAATCTCTTAGACGCTTTTGGGCTTAATATATATTGAAAAGCATATTTTCGTTAAAGTCTATTTACGAAATTATCTAAACCTATTTGCGATGGTCAGATAATTTCGTAAAAACAACATTTATGTATAAGGATAGGTTAAATAGTATTTGATTGTTACAAAAAATCTGAAAGCTTGAATAATTACTTAATTCATTATTGTTCAATTTATTTTTCGGTATTTTTAAAATTAATTAATTAATAATTCATTTATTTTATTTTAGCCATTATCGTAACATTATCGTAATCTGTCACTCGCAGACAGTCTCCGTATGAAATGCAAATCATTGCTTATATCTTATACTATTCATATTACTTCCGAAAATAAAAAAATGACGTTTTTTATATGAAAAACTACTGACTGGTTTTTCCTTTTATTATTGAAAAACTTATCAACTGCATTTTTAAATTCATAACTTAAATAAATTATGATTATCGACTATAAGGTAGATTATTGCGGAAGTTTAAGCTCTTTCTCAAATGTAGAATGTAATTGACTTATAGTTAAAAAATATTTATATATAATAATACAAAAGTTGCATTACCTGTGCATATTTTCCCTCTGATCGGTGGAAGTTTTGTATCCTGCTTCCAAATCGTTGCTGACGCGACTAATTGAAGAATTCATACTTTTATCCGGTATTAGTCCAGATCCTGTGAATAAAACCCTGCACGATGAGTTTGCTCTAGCCCTTATCACCTCTGCCGGTATTGGAGGATCTGCAGGATTCAATGTTTCATAAACGTCTTGAGACACGTCAGGCATTTTAGTAATACTAAATTAACTTTTCGATTTCAGAATTAATTTTTAACGAATCACAAAGTAATAGTCCAATCCACAAATTTTAATATTGAACACCATCAAAGCAAGGAAAATTCAAATATAGAGATGAATTAAAATTTAGAGAAAATAAATCGTTTAAAATTGACTTGTTTATACGACGGTTTAGACGAAACTGATAACGGCGAATGTAATTTTAATTACTTATTTATATATCGAAAGCATGTTGAAAGAGCAATTACATAGATACGTATATATATATATATATATATATATATATGTGTGTGTGTATGTGTGTATATGCGTATGTGTATTCAAAAGTATGCTTCAACTTCGAACATTGTAATATATGATGTATACATTCTTAAATTTGATGTTGATATAGATACATATTAGTTGAGTTCTAATGATCGGATGTTACAAATATATACATATACATACATACATACATATATATATATATATATATATATATATATATTAGGATGGTTCTTAATATGGACGTTTTCAAATTTCCTTGCTCCCAAGTGCTCAAATGGTTCCAAATTGATAAGAAAACAATTCTCTGAAAGTTTTAGCTCTTAATATTAACTTTTAGATAGTGCGCAAATCAATCAAACTTCGTATGGAAATAGCATGGAAAAAAAAATTTCCATGCTATTTCCATACCATTTTTTTAGGTATAACTTAGTGACAAATGAATTAAAAGTGAAAATTTATGTCATTTTTTATTGAAAATACGACGCTCTGCAAATTTTTTCAAAATTTTTTCATGCTATTTCCATACAAAATTTAATTCAATTGCGCTCTATCTAAAAGACAATATTAAGAGCTAAAACTTTCAGAGAATTGTTTTTTATCAATTTGGAACCATTTGAGCACTTGGGAGCAAGGAAATTCAAAAATGTCCATATTAAGGACCACTCTAATATATATATGTAACATCCGCCGGAACCTGGTATCAGGCAGTAGTTATATCAATTTATTTTTTACTTCGAAATACTGTGGAAAAGCACATTAGAAAAAATGGTTAATGCTTTCAGGCACCCTCGTGTGGAATGATAACGGAAAACTAGCTCATAACCCAGCCTTTGAGCAGAGCACCCATTAGCACATGAAGCATGTACCTAAAGGGTACATGTAACTAACTAACTAATCACACATTGTGGTGTTGTGCTAATATTTTTTACCGGAACGCTAAAATTAAAAAAAAGGCACAAAAACCAGTTCTCATGTTTGCCCCGGTTCGATTCGAAATGGAAGGAACAAAAACCATTACAAAACCCATTTTGTGCATATACATATATATTCCAAATAGGATTATGTTCAGGATCTTGTAGTTGAATTTTCTTTATTTGGTTGTCATCCGCTGAACGATGAGACCACAGATAAGAAAAGGATGAGACCTTAACCAAGTTTTTACTTAATTATCTGTATTAAATAATTGTTGTGGTGGGCCATTAATTTTTATGAAAAGATTTGCTAGATTTTAAAATAATAGTTTATTTCACTGTTTATTTAAAAGAATATCTATATCACTGAATTCGCGCTCACACTTGCAAGGTATAATATTTATGAATTACTTTGCACTGAACGCATTGGTAAATCGCATCGGCGATATTAAATCAAATCTGGTGCATAATTACTGGATTTTATTTTCTCCGTAGCCAATTTTAATATTTGGGGGCCACTCCGTATCTAATATTCAAAATTTACTTATCAAATCATTTTCAGTATATAGCAATTTTTTCAATTTTTTCGCCGAACGCGTTTTGGGGCAAAAATGATGTGCCGGCACGACGTTCCGGGGCGTTCCCCGACAACTCCACTGATCGTAACCAATCTTCGCCGAGCTCAGAATGAAAATAGAAGGTTTTACGACAAATGCATGTCTCTTCATTTAATAGGTGGGTCTATTGATATGTTTTTAGCAATAAACTTCTTGTATACTTTGAGCAAAAATTAAAAGCCAATCGACAGGTTTGACACTGTGACAATGACGCTCAACATCTGACACGATTGTTATTATGGCTTGCTTACTGTTATATAGCCGCAAAAACGTTAATAAAACTGGTAAATTTTTAAATAAGGCGACTGTTTCATTTTATTCATATATATCATTTTTTCCTTATATATACCATTTCTCCGCATTTTTCCCATATGTGTACATAAATATTAACAAGTTTTCCAAACATCCATCCAATTATTAAATAAAAATCAAAGTTTCGTGATTTGATCATTCAATTAATCTAGCAAACGTTTTGAATCTTATTTTGACTCATGTTCAAATAATTCATAAATATAATTTAAATGAAAGACAATAACAAATAACAATAAACAACTGTAGAATATAACTAATGTATTTATAAAAAGTAAAAAATATAGAATGATAAACTCCATGAGTTCATCAGTTGATGTTTATATCTTAATATTGTTTTTGTCTATTTTTAGTTTTTCGTTTTTTATTTTATTGTTAATTATTAATTGTTAGTTATATTCAATAATTGTTCATTGTTATTTGTAATTAGGTTTTATGTTAATTAATCGTATGTGTTACATTAGAGATTAGTTCAATAAAATCTTTAAATATTTGCTAGATTAATTGAATTATTAATTTATAACTCAGGTTTTATTATATATTTGTATATATTGAACACAAAGTCCAATTTGACTTTGAGGTCTCAAGTATCTCTCATTTTTAAAAAACTATATGTTTTAGCTTTTTTATAGTTTTACCTTTGCTTTATGCCTCTTTAGGTTAAACCTCCACGTAAAGTAACAAAAGTTTATAAAGCTAATAAATTCGATTTAAATTTTTCCTAAAGTTATTTAAACTCTACATATTAATTATTTAAATTTATCACATAAAATAAAACAAAAGTTTTCTGTAAAAAGTTACTACTGGTTTAGTGGTTTCAACATTTCTTAACTTCAAATGTTCCATGTTCGTATGCGTTATGAATTTTCAATATAATATTATCTGAAAAACTGTACTTGAAATCTACTAATGTTTAGATAGTGAGTATTAATCGTTCATGCTAATTATATCAAAACGTCAAATATAAATTAATAAATTTAACAAATTCAACCATTCTATAGATTCTGTAAATTTCTAATTCTCCACAAAACTTTGCTTTGTGCTAATTATCCCTAATACTTTAAATTTTTTAAAAAAAGTTTGATGGAAGAAGTTATGAGTTATGATAACTTCTTTTATCTTATATATAAAAATGGAGCTCTCGATCGAAAATGATCCGGTAAAACTCGAAAACGGCTGAACCGATAAGGCCAGTCTTAGTCTTGAAAAATTCGTGCCAATCCAGAGATTGTCGGAAAGGTGAGATAATATTTCAAAATCGCGTAGAAACTTTACATTATTAATCTCAAATTTTTTGTACAAGCATAATATAAATAAAACAATGGACGGTGGCTAACACGTCAAATGTCAAACGTTTTTGACAGATGATGTTCAATTATGTTTAATAGGATGTTTTACGTGAATATTATTTAATTATGATTAAATTGTAGTAAGTAGTTTTGTTTGTAGCTTTATTTATACACAAAACCGTTATTAAACGGGCCGCAAGTATTACTAGAAACTCAAAATATCAACTTTTTTGAAATGTTAATATTAAAATGCATTTTTTTTCTCAAACACGGTGTTCTGAAAGATCTCTTTTGTGTAATTATATATTCATTGGTATTTATAAAACATTTTCTAGGTTATATTATTTTTTATTTATGTTATTTAAATTCAGAACCTAAATTTGGTATCGATCAAAGGAGCATTTTGTCAAATAACATTTTCCCAGTTATAATTTCCCAGAATTTATCGAAGAATAAATAGTAATATATGAAGGTCCGGGGTTAAAAAGGTCCACTACCAATGTGTCAAAAACCAGTAAAGATAAGCATTTGAAAGTAGAGGGAAAAAGATGTATAACCAGCTATAACCTTGATTCTTCAGTTCGATTGTAGCAGCCGAGCGATTCACATCGAATAAATAAATCGTAAATAATTGCATAATGTCTTCCGAGTCGGATGGTCAGTGCGGCCGACCACCTGACCCAAACCTTTTTACCTGCCGCTCTGCGATTGGAGAGTCAACAGCAGATGCAAGAAACACTAGCTTAAATAGATTGAGTGACATGGATTTTTGTGATACTGAAAGTGTAATTAGTGTAGAAAATGAATCAGTTAGTAGTTGTGATTTGAACATTAAGAATAGTGTTAATGTTAATTATAAATATAATATCAACGATGTAAGTGCAGATAGTAATAAAAGGGAAACGTTAGAACAAAAGGAAAACAAAGGGGAAAACAGTAATTTAGCGTCAAATAATAGTGATACAACAATGGAAATAACAAAAGATCTAATAAGTGATAACAATATAAACGATCAAAATAAATCAGATGAAAGAGTTAATCCATTAAATAATTTGATACGTTTCGAAGGTTGCGATATGGGCCCTTACACTATATTTGTTGAATCCAAGGACAAAAATATAGGCCGACTACACCCGATGGCCTTGGGAAAAATCATACATAATGCAGGGGCATATTTCAAATTTGGTTTGACAGAAGTTTCGGTTATAGGAAAAAATAAAGTGAAGATGGAATTTAAAAGCGCCAGGGTGGCGAACAAAATTCTAGATGACAAAATTTTAGAAAAAAATAATCTGAAGGCATACATCCCAAAATACCTACTTGCAAGGCATGGCATAATATTTGATGTGGATGCGAATCTCTCAGAACAAGAAATTATAAACGCCATTGAAACAGACATTCCGATTATAGACGTGGTATGTTTAAGACCGAAAAATAATAATACAATAAAATACTCATCACAATGTGTCAAATTAACGTTTAGGGGCACAAGTTTACCGAATAAGGTAGCTATACATTCGGTAAAATGTGAGGTTCGACCGTTTGTACAGAAAGTGGTCCAATGCTACAAATGCTGTCGGTTCAATCACGTTAAGGACCAATGTAGAGGAAAAGAGAGATGTATGAAATGTTCCGGAGAACATAATGCGAAAATATGTATAGCATCCAAATTTATATGTGCGTTGTGCAATGGGGATC